CCCATACATGGAGCGCTATCCTCGTGGGATCTGCTTGCTTAATTTGCCTGGTGGTTTTTGGTCACTTGGATAAGCAACCGAAGTCCATGTCAGTACTCTCTGTCTATGCATACTTCCAAACCCTCTCTCATCCCGGCGAACATGACACAGCATGTCCCTGGAGAAAGTGTGGGAGAGGATAGCTCGTAAGTGATCTCGCATGCAGGAACTGCGCAACCATTGTGCCAGCCTTTCAGCAATCGCAAGACGCAGGGGGCGTGCGGACTTGAGTCGCATCTCACGAAACATTCGACTTCATAATATGGGCCAACTACATAATACGAAATCCAGATATTGGTTTATTTCTCCGCAGGAATATGACTGGTAACTAATGATGGGGTACGCACTCGCTCGTGCATAAAAGTCGCTGTTGGTCTCGTACAACCTCTGCAGTCGAATTGAACCTTGGGGTGTTGCCGCCAATCACTTTTCATGGCAGCACTCATCTCCTTATCCATTCCTGCGTCAGCGCAAGCCACAGGCCTTGAAACAAATTCTTGTGGATACCTGCGCCTAGACGGAAAACCCGGGCCAGCTAGATTGACTCATGGTATTTTCGCTATGTGGGCTTTCCCCTTTGACACACCTGCTCAAGATGTACTTATTTCCCCCCATATGGTATTTCCTTTCTTGATCGTAGTTGCTGTGTCCTTCTTCTGACTACCACTGACGATTATTATCTATTAGTCATAAAAAGAGAACTGCCTCTGGTGTACGGAGTACTCCGTGCATTCGCCAATGCCCCGTCCCGACTGAGTCTGTATTGATATATCTAGGAACCCTCTGGGCGCCTGTATTATCTAGTTACACATGATGTTGGTGAAGAGGATAGCATCATGTTTTATCGCTGCTCCAGGTTCTCTCGCCACCCGCGCACTGCCTTTTCCTACTTGTCAACTAAATCCACTGGAACTTATACTTCCACGTGGGAACCACCACAGTGGCCTTGCACGGTGCTCCCTGTCAGAATGAAAAGAAGTAATATCATCATGCATCAGACGATATCAGGGGTAAACTTGCCCTGCCACAAGTCAGTCTTGACCGCGGATAGGCTGCTGAACAATGTGATCGATATATCTGACTGCAGCACCCCCTGTATCCTTTTGCAATGCACCTGAAATTGAGCACCCCAACTCGCAGCCAAATAAGACCGAGAAATTCAGTCTCGCATATATCAGCGTCTCATATTATGGGAATAATGGCTCGCCTTTGGTGCGCCTAATTTTAGTAGAGTGACTACGAGGTTTCGGCTGGTGCAACTAGTACAGCGGCAACAACCCCTTTTTCGTTTTTTTTTTTTTTTTTTTTTTTTGGTTCTGGTTTGACCAATTTACTCGTCTCGATAACTAGGCACGTTGATACATTTCTGTGTCCCTCGGTTAACTTATACTTGACCCTTGGCAGTTCCGGTTAATTTACTCCCAGTCAGCCAGATTGTGTCGACCAAAAAGCCAGAAACACATTGTCACCAGTCAGCCCACGTCAAAGGCGCACATAGCACAAGGCACTCTTGAATGTGTTTGGGATTAGACTTCCATCCACCTAAACTACGTGTACAGAAAAGGCAAACTGCAGTATCCCTCCAGATGACTATCATCGGCCATTTACACACAGAATGTTTATCCCTCGACGATAAACATGATTCCCTGTCATTAATTTAATTAGAGGGGCGCAATATCATAGCTGGAACAAGCATCGGAAATGAGACACTAAATTAAGCCTGTTATTATTAACTACGAAGCAGGCATCGCAAACACCAAGGGTCGGGGATATTTTTACTTCGTTAAGACACTCGGTTATAGCAGCCCTGGCACGAACTATACATGGATTTGGTCCTATACCCGTACGAACTCGCGGCTGAGAGATCGAGCCGGCAAAGACAGCCGAGAGAGGGTTTCTATCCACCATGAAGAAATTGCGAGGCCTTTCAATTTTGTTTAGTTATCTTTTTGAGACCAGAAAAGGGATGGATGCTGTGATCGCTGGAGGTACGAATATTTAATATCGAACCGCCAAAAGCCGCCGGGGTTCAAGCATTGTTGGAAGGTTTTATCCTGGGCCTGCTCCATAAACAACATCCCCTAGTTACAAGGGGAGTCAACATCACATCATCGCATGGGCCGTTCGTAAGACTTGGAAGATGATACGGTGTTCTGATGACTATCATACTAAGTAGTTTGGGTTAATAGACAGGTGATTAACAAATATATATATATACCAATGTCCAGCATAAAGAGAAAGACGAAGATGAGAAGACTCCAGTACCGGCCTTGTACGATCCCATCACCTTGGCCTTCGACTGACGGCATTTCCCATTTCCCACGTTCACATCGTAAAAATAGGAGACTCTCATCCTCCTGAAAAGGCAGTCGGGATCCAAAACGATCCAGACAAGACATCGCTACACCAAATAACGTAAAAAGAACTCGGTCGAAATTCGTCAGCTTAAGCTCATATGGGCGTCATCTCCCAGTCCCCAGCCTCTGCCCGCTCTCTCTGCTGCATTGCCAGATTGGCTTCCCCACTTGTCAGGCATGTTTTCAGCTTCTTCAATTTCTCTATCACGAATGCTAGAGGTTTGGCTTTTTCTGTCACCGTCTGTGTGGATGCTGGCAGGCCGTTTGCTTCGAGCCCGTATCGACCCATTAGTGTTGTTTGAGCTGCGGCCACTAGAGACACTCAACGCCTTGGGTAGACTTGACCCTACCATTGACAAGGAAGCTGATGTTGATTCGGCATTGATAGGCTGAGTCGAGCTGGAAGGCTCAGGTTCAACGGCCGAGAATCCTTTCAAGTCGGTGCTACCGAACCATCGTCTCTTGCGGGCTTTGATGCTGTTCTTGTCATCTCCTGAGTTACTGTCCTTCCCGCTATCACCCTTACTCTTACTTTCATTATCTGCTGCTGTCTTTGATGGTGTTTCTATCGTCTCCCCATCAGGGGATATTTCGACAAGCTCTGCATCTCGACACCATTTTCGGCGTCGGGTATATCTTCCCCAACCATCTTGGCCGCGGCGACCATCGTGCCACTTCACAGCTCACGTCAGCGATCCATTTGCCGATGTACATACGTAGGTGAAAATTAAATACCTTATTATCATAGTAGATCCATCCACCGTCGTCTTTATTATCATTATTTTTACCTCCCTTGCCCTTTTTCTTCGCCGACGGATCTGATGAACCATCAATACGCCATTCGCTCCCCTCAACCCACCTCCACTTCGAGTTGCTGCCCTGAACTTCGGGAAGTTCGAATTCATCCTTCGGAGGCACCGGATTCAGGTGCTCATCCGACCACGCTGGCCTCTCGTATGCAAACAAAGAGTAAGTCCACCCAATACCCAACCACCGTCTTTGGTTCTCATATACAATGAATGTGAACCGCACACCCGATGAATTTGCGCGACGCTTTGTTGAGCCGTGCTGTGAGGGCTGCTTAGAGCGGAAAGCCGTCAAGGATAGTAGCGAGGATTTGGTGAAAGAATTAGATGATTGATCACCACTATGCTGTAATGATGAAAATTGCAGTCCAGTAATAGTTGAGCAGATACGCCGAATTGTCAATGACCGCCAGAGTAAAACTCGAAAAATTCGCGCGGGTTTAGAATGCCATGTCAGGATGATGGTGCCGACAGTTATGACAACTCTTTTGATAGTGATGAGGTATATGGGGTGAAGGGTAAGTAGAATCCAAATAGGTGTAATGAGGATTATCCGAGTAAGTAATGCTGTTAGGGCAGGCCTGGTTGTAGTCGAAGTTGCAGTTCGCTGCGTAGAAAGAAAATCGGTGAGGTCGCGTAGAGGCTCAAGCAAGATATTGCACCTTGTTGTGAACTCCCTTAATGTCTCCACGATTTCATCCAGAGTTTTGTGAGGCCTAGATGATCCGTCCGAGCCCTCTCTTCTATGTTTCTCCCCAGTCAAGCCAGTGGATGATAGAGGGGAGTACCGCCTAGAGTATAGGCCCAGCATCAAAGCAACAACCACTAGAATTGGTCCTCCCCATAATATTATGGCACTACCATGTAGAGTGACAGCCCAAAAGGCACCAACCAAAAGAAAGCTCTCCCACGGATCTCCACTGGTCCATGATAAGAGTCCTGCAAGCCGGTTTAGAGGAAGAAGAAACGGATGAGAGTATGCTAGCGCACGAGTGACTGCAGGAGGAGTCGCTACTAGGAGAGGTGACTTTCGGTGAACAATGATAGTAGACCTTTGTTTGGACGTTAATGAATTACCCGATATATTGGTGGGCGAGAAGGTCGCAACGGTAGGCGGGAGACCGTCATTGGAGCCGAGAGACCCGGTAGCACCGTCATTCTGGGAGTGAGGATCTGCGGACATGGAACCTAGCCACGGTATATCTATAGACAGCGTTAGAACTGTGCGATCAAGTATGACTATGGCTCGGGGGGGCTACACCGCTGGTAAAAGGCGTATACAACCTACCGAGAGCTGCCATGCAACTATAGAAGCTTCCTAGTTCCCAAGCCGCCGAAGCTCATCCTAGGCGTCACAGTTGTATGTAAGGTAAAGTTGAGAAATCCCCCGAGCACAAGAGCAGATATCACAAGAGTCTCAGTCCGAAGCCGTCGTTGATCCTGTCCTTCTTCTTCTCCTTCCTGCGAGCGTCGACTTTGTTGTCTTCATCGTCAACTCCAACTTCTTCTCGGCTTCAACTTTCTGCACGCGACAAAAACTACGTCACGTGTGGATACTTTTCCATGTGATTCTGGATTATGTAAATATTATGTAATAATACCCGGTGCTAGTCCTCTTTAGGCATGTAAAGTTTTTGCATGAAAGTTTAGGCTTTTTTTTCAACCTCGAAGGAAAAAGCGGACGACGACAGACTCTTGATATCGCAAACTCGTTCGCTTTTTAGTTCGAAATACTTAGGAGCTGGGAGAGCTGTGGGCTTTGCGTTTCGTTCTTTTCCTTCGTTCTTGGTGGTTCAACATGGTAAGCCTGGATACAGACGTTTCCTCAATGATATAAGTAAGGGCTGGAACTGACATCTTCCCGGACAGGCTCATCGTATTCTAACTCAGATTGTCCTCACCGGCACCAGAGTGTTTGGTCGAGCATTTGCGGAAGCGTACAAGCAAGCGTCTGCATCGTCTAGATATCAAGCACATGCGCAGAAAACCGGAAGTTCCACGGGCGCATTCTCGTCTTCCGGTTTGACACTGGAGGAGGCTTGCAAGATACTCAACGTTAAGCCGCCAATGGGTGGAGAGGCGAACCTAGAACATACAATGGAGCGATTCAAGAAACTATTTGACCTGAACGATCCGAAGAAGGGCGGCAGTTTCTACCTCCAGAGCAAGATACTACGCGCTCGTGAAAGAATTGAGATGGAGGTTAGAGATGCAGCAAGAAATGCGAAAATCGAGAAAGAGGTACGGGAAGGCTGGAACCCGAAGCTGTTTAAAGACCGATGATCGATGTTAACCTGTGAAGGTGAAATAAACCAAAATGGCACTTCCTTGCCTACGCTATGGGCGTCCGTTTCGCCAATATCTCGACCTCTTCCTCCTCCGAATACCCTTTTATCCATTTTCATTTTAACATCCTTCTATCTTGGAGCATTAGCACTGGAGTTTTGCGGATTTTCTTTTTCTAGAAAGGATCTAAAGGCCATCTACATCCTCGTTTTCACGATATGTTCCATCCGGAAACTTCACCCGTTCGACGCATACATCCATGCATCCTTACCCGGAAACCCTGAACTTGGGAGCCGCTATTTATGAGAAATATCCTCTCCAACTGGCGTCTTCGGATATTTATGTTTTGGTATTCTTCCATTGAATGCACCAAAAGATCTCAAGCTCCTCTAAGTAGCTCGACTTCGACTCTTCACTCTCACTATTGCGCGGGTGGGTTCAAAGAAATCTGTATTATCACTTCTATATGTACATCAATTAACATACCTGGCTGCTGGGGTTCTAATATCCTCCCCTTATTCTAGCTGGGCCGTCTTTTTGTTTTGTTCTGTTGTTCTCTCACTCCACTCTTCCGTGTCTTGAACGCTACGGAGTACTCCTTTCTATATATCCCCATGTTGGTGTATTCATAGACGATAAACTTCTAAGATCTTACGGTTCTACCCAAAATTTGCTTGATAGATACATCATTACTTGCCATGATTTCCTGGACCCGCACCAGTTGTCTACTCTAATATCCTTGCCGTTATGTCCAATAGCCGTGTCACCTCCAGTCCTGTCAAGAAATTCCTTTTTCTCCTTAGAGGATCCATGCGGCTGCCTGTTCTGTGCTATGCATGCTTTTTCGCTGCCGCCCATTACAATACTCTGTGCAACTTTGCAATTCTGGGTGTGCTTTGCTTTTTCGACCAAGCGACACCCAATGGGTTACCTCTGGTTTTCGGGAACATGTTGCGTGGAGATGGTTACGCGTTGTCTTGACTACCCCCATGTTCGCTTCATGTAACGCATCCGTTATGGTTAACATATGATACACTCCGATAACTTAGTGCTTTGGTCCTGAGAACTTCGTCGATTTCTATGGCGTGAGCCTAGGAATTGGCAACGGAGTCGCCGCCTATGTATTTTATAAAATTCCTTGTTAGTAACAGTCAGTTCAATGCCTTCGATACAAGACCATTCTAATCCCGGCTGCCTATATTGAGTGAATTTTGGCTTCACAAGCTTGATTGCGACGATGTACAGGGTCCAGCCCTTGGTCTTGTGAATATCAGGCCATCATGTAAGGACCCCGAGCATTACAAGCAAGAAAGATTGCCGTTTGGCACACTACCCCTCCTGTGTCAGACGTGTGAGAGATGAGCAGGGTGGATATTTCGTGACTAAAGCTTTGGAAGTAAGTATGCCAGATATTCAAATACCAGGAAGCTACGTGATTCAACGTAGTTCTCTTTTAATAACATATTGGATATCAGGCGTACAAGCGATAAACGTACGTAAATGACTGTAGAGGTCGCTGGGGTATGCATGGACATCCATTTCTCAGAGGATAAGTATTCCAGCATCCTTGTTCCTAGGCGGGTTCATTATTTTGATCAAAATAAAAAATATAATAAATAAATAAACCACTCCTATTGAATAACATAGGAAGACACTCGACGGTTCTTTGAAGTGCGGAGGCCATGTTGGCGTTTGCAGTGATATCCAATTGTTTTTTTGATAGAAACAAGGGCAGATTTGCTGAATAGGGGATAACTAACTAACTAGTTAATTGGTAACTGCCTAGGTTGCTAGGTAGTTTGCTTAACTAACTTGTTTTGAACGGCCAACTTTGATCTTGATACCAGGGGGAAGAGCCTCACGCAATCTTCATTCTAAAGGCAAGAATTTTAGGGAACTGTGTGAACTGCCGGAGCGATCCTATATCCAAGTCCCTTGCCTTTACATATGCCTCGTCGAAATTTGGCTCTTCCAGAGCATCCAGGACTAAGCCTGCCTTAAAGAATGGAGCAAAGATTTCGTGCATTGGACGGTGGAAGTATAGCTACGTGGGATGAACTTTTGGTTAGCACTAAATATTAAAGAAGATATTATTCATGGGAGCGCACTTATTACCTGCGGGTGAGGCTGGGATTGAGTTGCGACGCCTTTGTAGGGTGGAACGTGCAAGTATTTGGTCATCTTCAAGGAATGAAACACCTCCTCTCGGCCTGACTCGGGATTGTCCTTATATTCGACTGCTCTTGTTACGCCGCAGGTAAAGAGAGGGTGCAATAGCGTTGCAACAAAGCTATACCAAGGGATAAGTCGGCAAGGCCTGTCTGTCAACGTTGGAGCCGACGGACTTACCGGCCCCATCCCTTTTCAATAATTTAGGCAGTGCATTAGCAAGGTGCTCTAAGGTAGAGACATCCATGATTGCCATATTCATCGTGATGATATCAAATGCTCCCTATTCAGACAGTCAATTTACTTCATATGGCCCAAGATCAAGCCGAGAAGGCAATGGGTATGATTATAGAACATAGATAAAAGTAGAGGTGAAACAAAACGCCTCACCCCGGCCCCAAGACCTCGAGACTGAATAAGTTCGTCAAAATGCTGTGGATCTGTCACGTCGAGGATCTGATATGAGACTTTGACTTCCCCATTTTCTTCGAGTCTCTTTGACTGTCGGGCTTGAGCTTTCGCGACCATAGCGGGACTGCCATCTGTTGCGAGGACGCTGGTCCCTTTTTGGGCCATCCAGTGCGCTACAAGGCCATTCCCCGTGGCAAGATCCAAGGCACAATCTCCAGGATTTGGCTGCACCAGGCGTTCCAATGCAGGCAGCTCGATGACAGTGTAGTAATCGTTGCCTGGAGTTCCCATCAACGTGTCCCAGGTTTCGGCAAGCTGGTCCCATGCCGCAACTGGTTTAGCATCCATTTTTGTTGAAAAGACAGAAGCCTGCAGGTACTTGCTCTCAGGTTTGCACCGAAGGTCTTCTCCAAGTCAGTACCTGATGTGGTAGCGGTGATTAGAGATGTAGAGAGAAGGTTATGTTTGCCAACATGACTGAGTCAACATGAGGTTATATTTTAACTAAGCTCGTATTCTTTGCGAATTGCTCATTCATTAACTAGTTAGTTAGTTATTTCTACCCTGGTTAGCCAAGGGCGGTCGAGCAACTTCTTCGCAGTCTTCGTATAATCAGGAGACTGTCGAAGCACAAAATGGGTAGTTTGCTGTGGTATCTTGGGGATTTTCATATATGTATACGGGGTACACAAGTCTGCATTCTGTATGTATATGATTGAGTCCCTGGAGTAACTAGTTAACTAGCTGAACAAGTCCCACTGTGAGAAGGTCTTCCGTAACCCGATGGATGGATTTAGGTGTTGATAGCCAGGATGTGAGCGACTCCCCCGGGCCAATGCATCGTATGTTTTGATTTCATCTTGGTCGGCCTTTTCGCGCTTGCATGTCTTCAAATGTCATAGAAGGAACGAGATTTTCACAGGACAGTGCTTGTCCGATTTGAAGTCATTAAGTTGCTCCTCCTCGAATGCTTCAATTTGACGATTTCAATGACTACGGGACGCGTCAGGGACGGGAAGGCCGGAGCGCCGAGGATAAGTTCAGTACATCCGGTCAATATCTCCTTCAATGGCTGGAATTTGTTAGTTAATGACAAGTAGAGCTCAATGTTCAAAGCGGCCGCAATCAAATTTATGAAAGAATTCAGGGTCTGCCGAGGTGAGTTAACGGTTTAAGGAAGATATTAGTAGTTAACGTACCCAGCTAGATGACGAGGCGTACTACTTAGACACTGGGAAAGCTCATACAAACATATATAATATATAGGGAAGCATTTCGAAATAGACATTGAATGTGTGGTGAATTCGTATCTAGCGTTGTTTCTGCTATATTGCTGTTTATTTCATAGTCGTTAAATATGTGATGGAATATCGGTTGCTTGACCTTCTTCACGCATCTCAATTTATGCATTTAAACCAGTCCTAGACGAGAGTAGATGATCCGAGGGTCCGTGGCGCTTTGAAGGGGTGCATCAATTTACTATCAATGGTTAGTTGTCCTAGATATCTAGGACGACCTGGCTTGTTCTGCCGAATCTCTTCTGCTCTTCTTTGCTCGGCGCTCAGCTAGGTCATTATAGCCATCTCCTCTCATCCAAGTCAATGCTTTCCTGAATCCTTGGTCTGTGATATTTGCAGGGTTTCTTTCCAGCAACACTCCCAAAAGTGCCCAAGAAGCTACAAGAACCCACAAGTCACCCCCTTTATAACCGCGCCAGAGGCCGCGCTTGACTCCCGTTTTCCAGGCGGATTCCACAGCTTGTCGGAACAAATAAAGGAAATGAGCTCGGTAGCCGGAGCCACAGAGAACTGCGAACGGAAGGCCGCTGATAGCACCACTGAGGTAGAACCGCTGGGTTGGCAACAATTTTCGTGGCAAGACGGCATTGAAAAGACAGATACTTCCCCACGCCGCACCAATAGACGAGCTTATGATTGCCGTGGCGGAAAGTATCTTCTTGGACACCTCGTTAATTGAGGTGACTGGTGATGTAACAAAAGACTTGAATTTCAGTACTGATAGAGCCAAGTAGACCTTGGCAACAGAACGCACGAGGGGCGGGATGGAGAGGAGCACTTGATGTATGAATGCGGTCAAGCAGGAAGGTGATTTTGGATGCAGTAAGGCACAGGATAGAGACGCTATTGCTGGGTGAGCAGGAGAAGTTATGGGCGATATAGTCTGAACAGCGGCAGGAAGCGTGTCTGTTACACTTGGATGGAGAATGGGAGAAGTAAAGGGCCTAAACGAAGGTTATTAGCTTGATATCAAAATGATCCAAACAGGCATGAGAGGTGTCATACGGCCACTTGAGTTCCGCAACTTTTGCCAATGCATCAACAGTTTCAAATGGTTCCGGCCAGGCCACCGTTCCTGGGAGGCCTGAAGGCCGCCGCTTTATATACCCTGGGGTGAACCTCAGAATAACGTTTCCAAACCACTAGACCAAGCGTTAATTCCTAATTTCTTCCAAAAGGGACAAGTAGGCACTGGCAACTTACAGATGGTGTAGCTTCTCTATCAAATACAAAAGCATGGAAGAGTTGGGCCATGGAGAGTGGCATTAGAAGCCAGCTTCCAAACCACCAAGGACGAAGTGAGAGCCATCCATTCTCCAACAAAGCATTATACAGAACCTCCAAGCTCCGGGTGGAAGCATATATGGCAACTGTAAGACGTAGCTGGGCCTGTGGGTATAAAGCGAGGAAGAAGCCTGCCAAGCTGGCGCCTATAGCTGGTGCATATTTCGATGTTAGCGCTTTGGATATGCGCGGATTCCTCTCTCGGAAAGGCTGGGCATTGTCTGTTCTCAAATTTGCGCGTAATCGGGAGAAAAAGCGATGTAGTAATCGGTGGAAAAGTAGCATCAAGGATAAGGATAGTGGAAGCCGGAAAGCCGGAGAATTGCGAAACGGCACGTTTGAGGAAGCACTTTCAGAAAAGAATATTAGATATATTTTGTAGATCACACGAGACTGTTTTCCTTAAACATACCTTGATGCGCCAGCCCTTGCTATGATTCGGCTTTTAATGAAATCCAGCAATTTCATACCCAAGCGCGTGATCCAAAACAGTCGGAGGGAGGAGCGTAGCGCTGCCGTGGTATACTTGTCTCTTGACTTGATGATATTATTAAACGTAGCAGGCGAATATGTTCTATCTTGTATGGATCGAGGGAGGTTCTGAATGACGGATTCATGGAGCTTTCGATACTCTTCCCCAGAGCAGAGAAGCCGGAGGACTGTCCTTTGCACCTTGAACCCCAGGCTGGGGGGATTGCGTTGGGCGTCTGGATCTGGATTCGATGCCATGATCGCGCCGACTACTTGATTAACTCACATAAGACAATAAAATCTGCTCGCAAACGAAGCCTCATCCATATCTTGCTATCTGCATGACTGTTGGATGTTTTCTTCTGGCGTTGGCAACTTCCGACGTCACGAACAAGCGCGCCTTTGCATGTGACTTTAGCGCCAACCTCGGGTAACTAGCGAGTCAATCATGTAGACATACCTGGCTACTGATTTCTTACCATAGCCTTAATGGTTCTCTCTCTACATTACTCAGGTAAATAAGATGAAAACGCTTGACATAGTAGCTTAAGACGAGCTGTGAAGGGTATTGCTGAGATTAGATCTATAGAACACAGGTAGAAACAGAGATGTGCAGCAAAAAGACAGCCTGCGAGTATAGTAAAACACGGAGATGAGCATGAGGAACCAATCCCAAGCAAATCGTTACTATGAAATTCGTCAAAAGAAAAGAAAAGATACATTGCCAAGGGTGGAGGTTAGAAGATGCAGGTGAGTATGGCGTGACGAAAGGGGGATATGAAAGAAGAATTCCAGGCGAGCAGGAATCGGTCATAAGATCGATGTAGAAACACCAGGTTACCAAAAACTGCACCAACCGATGTAATGCTGACACAAGTTTTCTACACTTGTAGCTTGGACTAGAAGTTTGTCGACCTGGTCGCTAACATTGAGTTCATCAGGCGTTCTGAAGTCGCGGCCGGTCAACTTCTCCTTGACTCTTCCAAGTACTTGAAGGGCTCGCGCATTTTGCACTTCACGTCCTTCGTTGGGGATGCCTTGTTGAGCATCAAGAATACCACCATCAAGTATTGATGGGCGGCGGCGGGAGAAAGTAGTCGGCTGGATGGGGTTGTCCATGTTGGACTCTGTGGGCGGGTGCCTATCGAGGATTGAGAGGCGGGCGGGAGATTCCCGTGCTCCTAGACGCCAGTTGATTAAGGGGTCGTGAATGAACTAGTTGGAAGGTTAGCGGCTGATTTACTTAAAAATAATTACCTAGAAAAGCCGGGGACTTACAGCTTCAAGAACGGCCATAAGAGATTCTTTGTTTTCGCGAATAACACGCATGACCGCCTCACAAGTAATGTGGAAACTACCCTCGATATTGCTGACTTCCATCGCAAATGTAAGCATACGGGTTAGTCTGAATGGTACCCGTTCTGGATACTTCTCACGATGCATCGCGATCTCGAAGCAGTCGCCAAAATCAATGTGAACTATCTTTCCTGTAATCCTATCAAGCAGCAAGTTCGACGGATGGCGGTCACCTAAGCCAAGGATATACCCAACCATTGACATAACTCCGAGAGATCGGGTATAGTTCGTTCGTCGTTCAAGCCACGACTCAGAGCTTTTACTTTTCAACCATAGGACTCGGTAAAGATCTTTGCCAGTGGTATTGTCCATCGCGTAACCAAACACTTCCACTTTCTGCATGAGAGTCAGATTGTCATAATCAGGAGCCATTTGGAGCATAATTCGGTGTTCAATGTTAAGCAGAATGCGACGGCTCTCACGGTACTCTTTGATGAGAGCGTGAAGCGTGTCGGTGTTACAGCACCATCCTATTAAACCAGAGTTTTGTGACAGGGGAATGGCGGGGAACCGTTGAATCGTTAAGTGACGTTTGAAACACTCGCTGTCGTTGTCTAAGAGAGTGTTGACTAGACCAAACAATTGCATAACACGTTCATCTTGTCGAATATCTTCATGGCCCTTGAGCGCGTACATGTATGAGTTTCCGTCACTTCCCCTGATGATCATCTTTCTGGGTTTCTTCTTGGTCTGGACAACAATAGCAACACTGTCAAAGCTTTGTATTCGGATGACGGGTCGTCCACTTTGGTATGTGCCAGGTATAGCCAAGTCAAGATCGACGACGTCCTTGAGCTTGGGTGAAATGTATTTTAGATCAAGCGATTTGATTTGCGTTACTTGTCGGGAAATCTTGCGGAACACATTGTAGTAGAGATCCCAAGCTTGGTTGAGATCGCCCATTTCTCCGGTTTCCCGGTATAAGTTGCAGAAGTGTTTGGCCTCCGCCAAGTCTCTCCCAAAGGCCTGAGCAAAAGATACCTCTCTTAAGGTCTCTGCACCCTTATCGAGCATGTCGTGGAGAGGTGCAAGAGTGGACAACATACCTTCCACATCGTGGTCGGTAAAGAAGAGCCGAGAGGCCTCCTCCAATGCCTCGTACCATAGTTCGTGCCATAATACTGCCACACGCACTAGCTCACCACTGACAACTTCAGCTTGTTCAACCAAACGTGAGCTATGCGCCCTCATACTTTCCATGATGGTCATGGCAGATTGGGAGCGGCGCACCACGTTGGATTTAGTTGCGACAGTTAAGGGATAAACCAGCGCTTGGGGGTGAGCTTTGCCCAGCTCAGCCAATAATCGATGTACAGCAGTGCGTACCTTAGGATTGGGTTGATTGATGCGGGCAATGAGCTGAGGAGTAACTTCAAGCCAGGTATCGATGCTCACAGTTGAGAAGCCTTCCACGACGGCAGCGTTGACTTCAGCGTCGCCACCATGGGTGAACCAGAGTGTCAGCAGCCTGAGCGCATCTTGCAATGTGCTTGATGGCAAGAGTGCGATTGAACGGAAAAATCCACGTATTGCAGGCATGACATGTTCGAGGATGATGTGATGAGGAGGCTCCCTCTCTGGCTGAGCTGTTAGGGAGTTCACCACTTCGAAATTCGCGAGAGCCCAGGCATGCCACGCTTTGTACGAGTCGCGGTTATATTGTGTAGCCGCAGAATACGAGTTTAGAACATCACGGACACCATCTGATCTCCAATCACCGCGTTGTAACACCGTTTGCCATTCTCCCTGTTTAAGATGGCTCTTTGCAAGAAGACGTCGGATCTTATTGGCATCACCGAGATGTTGTTTTGAATATCCAGCATTAGTATGGTTGGAATCATTTATACCGTTGGTGAGGGCTGGCCCATCGGTAGGCGTATGTTCGTCTTGAGCAGAAAGAATCGAATTATACCGCCCATATGATTCTGTAAGAGAGATAGTAAATTCCTCTAGGGCTTTGAGAGCTTCAGCCTGCCGGCCAGAGGCCCACTCAAATTTAAGGCGTGCATATGTCACTTCTGGTGGGATGCCACCATCTGCGGCCTCAATAGACTCTAAAGCACTAAGAGAACGTTCTGCAAGTCCCATACGGTTCGATTTGCGGCATAGATTGACGAACTTGATCCACATATCAAGATTTTCACGGGGAGTGATAACAAGTGCCCTGACTTTGAGCATACGCTGCCATACCTCAACATTATGCTGGCAACCCAGAAGTCGTTTATTCCACGTCAATCTCATGGCCTCTTGCTTTTCTGGGTCATCCACACTTCTTTTATAAGTAATGATTTCTTCCAGCTCAGCGAGCATTTGCACCCGGACAACAACATTGTAAGCTCTGTTGTATGATTCACCTAGCAATGCAGAGAGTTCGGTGTCTAGGCCGTTTCTGGCCTTTTCAATCAGAGCCGACGCTTCTTCGAACTGGTTGCGATGAAGTGAGAGAATTGCGCCGAAGAACGATCTGTCAGGCGACTGCTCCTTCATTACCCCAATATATGAATCCATAAGCTCCCATTGGCCTCTTCCCCATGCAGCAGCAGCAGCGAGTGGGGCGATGGCCTTGCGGTGCTCATTCGATGCTTGATTCCATTTCTCCTGCGCAAGGTCTGAAAGCATTTTCCATTCACCAAGAGCGTGAAGACATCGCATCTTACCCATGGTAACTTCGAAAGAATCAGGGTCGATTAACTCCCGTCTCTTATAAGCAGCTAATGCTTCCTCCCATCGCTGGAGTTTCACGAACCATGTTTCCTTCAGCTCGACATCTCGATACGCCTGTGCCTTGCGGAGAATACCAATTGCGGCATCAGACTGTTGAAGATGATTGTTGATGCTAATCAATGCCTCCACTGCTCCGGAATTTTGGTCTTGCTCGAACTCCAGTTCTTTGTAATGTAATGCTTTTGCGAATGCATGACATTTACCGGCATATTTCCCGAGCGTTCGGATATCAATTGGTAGAGCTTTGTCGTCATGTTCCATGAATTCGGCTAAGTTGAGGAGTATTTGTAGGATTTCGGGAGGGATATTCTGAGAAGTAAGTGCCAAGTCGATGGAGTGAACCAATTCCTCCTGATACTGATGGTAAAGTTCCGTCCAGCAGGAAACGAAGGCGGCGTTGAAAAGATCCTTAGCAAGCGGCTGATAGATACCAGCCAAGCTAGCACAGGCACGAAGGGCATGGGAGGGTGATTCTTTGAGCAGTTCGACGCTGAAGCGCCGAATCCATTCCTGCCAATCTTCTCGAGTTGACTTTTGTGTGGCGTCCCATGCATTTTTGAGATGTTGTTGGTTAACGAATATCTTCTTCTGGCCAACATCCGCAAATGCTGAATCTTCCACAAGATTGCTATGGTGTTCATTGGGATTAAGGTCCTGGGGTAATGGATCTCCTTTCTGTAGCTTAAAAACAAGAACATGATAACTATGGTGGTGTATTTGATTAAACTTGAGGACTTTGTTGATGAGTGGAACATAGTTATTGAAATCCTGTCCAAGCTGGAAGATGAGAGTGCAAATGCAGTCCAAAGCAGTTTGCCTGAGTGGTTTCTCGGCGTTGTTTATAACCCTTGAGAGCGGATGTATCATAAGGGATGCAAAGTCTGATACGTTAACCTGTCGAGAGAGTTTTGCCAGCGTTTCCATGGCGCATTTTCGGATGTTGGAGGGATTTTGAGTCTTATCGAAGATTTTGACAATGGCGGGAACAATGCGATGCATATACTCTTCAGCACTTGAGCCGAAGATCAGGAAAGTGTGAAGGATCCTCTCTGTGGGCTGGCGGCGGACAGAATTGTCCTTTTCAACAGTATCCAGCATCAACGGAACAAGGGCGGCCAAGTACTTTTTGAACTCGCCTTCTAATGACTTAGCAACTGCTTCCACTAGAGATAATATCGTGCATTGTACGGGATATGGAGATCCCCAATAGTCACGAATGACTTCGATAATTTCGGGGAGGAATGCACGGATATGTTGTTTGACGATCGTTACCAAGATTGCCAACTGGTTAAAATACGTTTCAAGTCGGCTGACCGGCGTGCTTCTGATGACTGATATAAATGCAGGTATTATCTGGCCCAGAAATGGGACACATTTGAGCCCAAGGGTTTTGAACATCGTAACAATGGCGTCAATCACAGCAGAATGGTATTGGGCAAGAGAGCTCTCTCGCAGAATGTTTTGGAGTAAAGTGTTGATGACCACGGTGGGGTAGTACTCCTCGTTGGAAGGAGTAAGGCCTTGCATAATAAGAGAAACATCGGAAACAGTCTGAACTTCGTTGACATAATGAACATCAGGAGAAGTTTCACTAATTTGCTGTAGCAAAGTCAGTATAAAATCGCTCCTATAGAGTGTTCGGAATAATTACCTGATCTTTGTAAGGGTCAAGCGCTCCTAGTATTCCAATGAGTTTGATGGTCTCTTTCCTTAGACTACCCGTTTGCTCCGTCTTAATAATGTTGATGAGAATAGAAAGAAGCTGCGGATACTCTTTATAAGGTTCAATGACATAGCCTGCGTTACTTGCCAACTGACCCAAAGTTTTCAAGGCAGCCTCCCTCTTAGCCTGAGAGGAAAGGTCTTGTAGTGAATCCAGGATTATTGGCATGAGTTGAGGAAGATATTGTTTCATGTCTTCACCACCTATCGTCGCAAGCTCTCCAATGGCTTTGAGAGTGGTCGCTTCTACCGCAGGATTCCCGTCTGAAGTCTTGGGCAATAGCGTTGTAACAATGGGGTCAACATAGGAGCGAATGAGTTTGGTAGCATTTGAAACGAAGAGGCTGATTAATTGGGCACTTTCTTCCTTTTGCCGGGAGTTGGTAGCAAAGCTGAGGCCAGTCAGAAGATTCACAAGTAGTTTTCTCAGAGGTGGGAAAACATAGGCCGGGTTGACGCTCGAGAGGCGTCCAATGATGCTGATGGCTGCTTCTCGTACCGGGAACATCTCATCATTAACAGCTAGGAACAAACATCGAACGTTTTCTGGTTTCGCCAAGTGACGGTCAAATTTCTTATCCAGAGAGAATAACACATTTCGCCGGATATCAGGATCGGGGTCGCCGACTCCAACTGAGAGTAGTTTATCAATAACCTCGCTAACGACCTGTATCGAGTGAGCACTTGTCTGGTTAATGATAGGGTCATGAACGAAAAGTTGGCAACAAGTTAAAGCAGATGCTTTTCTGATCTCAGGGCTATCGCTGTCAACAAATTTGATGGCCACATCGCGAACGAATTCATTAAGGACATGACCTAACAACACGTTAATATGCAGTTATCATACTATAACAGCGAACCGCTTACCAGAGAAATCAAAGCTGCCAAGTGTATGAAGTGCGAGGGCTATCTCGCTATCACTACGATCCTGAGGTAAGGAGCCAAAGTCCTTGGCAAAGGAAGGTATAGGGGGTAAACGGCTTTCCGGACATCCCAATGGTCTAAAAGGAGTTCCACATAAAACAATGCTAAGCATGTCCAGCAGCTTTTCTTGGATAGTAGCTCTGATAGGTGGGATGTAGTGTGCCATATCGACAAGAGCCTGGGTAAGGGATTTACTCAAGCCACAAGCAAAAATAGGGTCGAGCAGTGACTCCATGTATTTGCTAAGAGTTTGACCAACCGCAAGAGACAGCATACTAATGCATTCAAACATCGGGCCTTCATTAACAGCGGCGCGATTTCGGCTATAATTCTGTGTAAGCTTTGTTCAAGTTAATTGGTTCAGAACTACATACGCTTTCAAGGCCAGTCCTTCGCGGATATATACGATGATTCCATCAAGGAACTGACCGATGGCGTGGCCAACAGCACTTGCAATCTTTCCTATGGCGATAAAAGCAGTATTCCTTTCCTTGTCTCGTTTTAGCTGTGCTTGAAGGTATATCATGAATTTATGAAGGTATGTATTGGTGAACTCGAGGGGGGCGTAAGAGGCGAGAACTGGTATGGTAAGCACAATCTGAGCACGAATCTTGGGGTCCCGGTGGTCTTTTAATCGCAGCACTATTTCACAAGTGTTATGGTAATGTTCGTTCATAAACATGGCACCCTTGAGAAGTAGCTCCTTCAAAGTAAGAAGTGACCCGTGGATCCAGTCCACATTGTTCGATCGTAGGCCTTGCAAAGACTCCTCGTATACTCTCGAAAACCACTGAGAACGAACTGCGCTATCTCTGGCCGCTATTATTTCAAAACACTCACTAACAGCATCGGCGGCAGTTTCTCGAATGACCACTTTGGGGTCACGTAGAGCGACCCAAATAAGATCAAAGACTTGCGGGATAAACCCGTACAGCAAAGTTGGAGAGCCCTTTGCAAGTTCTTGAATGACCAGGACTGCCGCGAAGCGCCTGCTCTCCTGCCTTTCGGTCTGTAGCCATTCTAGAGCTGACTGGATCTCACTTTCAGCTAGCTCTGCAGTTAAAGCACCACCTGGTTTCGCCAAATGCCCGAGACAGCCCGCCGCGAAGAGCAATACTGAGTTATCATTGCTCCTCAAAGCACTTCGCAGATAGCTAGCAAAACGAGTCGTTTTCTGTGCTGTATCCACACCATCGAACTCGATTAACCGGTCGAGCATAAGTAGCCCACCGATTTTTTCGTTCGCGTCATTTCCGGTAACGATAAGCTGGGCAATACGTTGGTTTATGGAGTTGTAGTGGTCGAGAAATTTATCTTGGGGCAGCTCTGAGAGCGGAGATAGCTGATCAGCAACGACGTTCATCTAGTAGGCATCATATTTCAACCAAGCCGTCTTACCTCGAGAAGCTGCTATAATATTTTCATGAAGCTCGGTGGCAGCTCTATTCCGAGTATCTTCGTTCTTGGATTTGAGCTCCTGAAAGAGTCGCTGAGTCGTATCTGCAGCTGGGGTAACTTGCGCCATGTTTTGATATCAAGATCGAAAGAAGTTGGCTACACAACTAGCTCCTGGAGGTAAAACATGGGCATCTATCAGCGCGTCAATATAGTAGCTGGAGAAACAGCACAACACATATTCTTTGCAACCGGATCTTCCATCGGCCGCCAAAACAAGGGACCACTTGCTTCGGTGCTCGTTGGATTTCTAATGATGCTGATGATTCTTCCGCCGGCTTGAGGTTGGAGGTAGATAACGCTTAGGTAATGTAGTTAAGATCACGTGTATAAACCTCAACGTCTGGAAAAACTTTTGATGTCAAAGTTGAAGATGAAGCCCGGCGGAAGCAAAGAAACGCAGAGGAAGACGAAGAAGACGAAGGGCAATTGGAGGCAATAGCGGCTACGATTTGACGCCATGGCGGCCAGGATGTCGCCCACAACGAAGATTCTGCGCAAGTCTCGCCTGTTTGCGCTCCCGGCTTCCCTCTCACCCCCAGCACAATCTCTGACCTCGAGCTTGAACTGGTCCGATACAGCGACACTTCCATATCCTACTAGAGCAACTATTGAGACACCCGCCAGCTCTCTCGCAAGAGGGGATTGGGGTCTAAAGCGACCTCTACCTGCCAAATCCACCGTGGACAGCTCATCGAACCCTCTTGTCCGGATTAACTATCTCGATACTTACGAGCACATCACAGACTTCCACTCTGCGAATGACCATGCCCTCACTCTCAAGAAATACCAGGAGCTATCTCTCCCTATATCATCGACAACTCATGGCACATCATCGTTAGTGGGCAGCGGCCGACATACGAGCGTCTTTGAAAGCTCGACCGATAACATGACCGCATCTCCCGATCACAGCTCTGAGAAGAAACTGAGATATAGATTCAAAGGACCATGGTTGGCCGGAATGACCGAAATTGAATTTGAAAGATACCTCAAGAAAGTACGAAAACAGAGGCCAGAGTTCCTACAGAGACTCCGCGAAGTTGTCATAGAGAACAAGGCCCTGCAGACACGAAGGCGGTTGATGGATGAGGGTAAATCATTCGAGGAATCCGATCTACCGAAGACACTGAGTGATGCCGAATTTGAAAGTGCTCTTCTAGCTCTTCGTGCCGATCCTGCAGCACTCGGCCCGGAGGTCAACAAGTTCCTCGATCTAGCTACTCCACCCAAGGTCCCTGACAGACGAATTCACCTACGCAACTGGGCTGCTGGCCCGTCTGATGTAGCATCACCCCAATACGCAAGAGACGGCCCTCCCAAAACCCATCCGTCTGCTGGTCTCAGCTACTTGCGTACCAGGTCTCATCTCGAGAACCATCCCATTGCTGGACCCCAGCAGAACCCCCGCCCAGTCCAAGCTCGATTGCTGCGTGCTAGAGGCCGTGGCAGAGGAGGATCATCCAAGAGCATAGTCGGTGTTGCTGGCTTTGTTACAGACGACATTGGCCCATCTGCGTCCAGAGATTTTGACAGCCAAAAGGGATCGATCCAGTTTGACCCCGATCTTCCTGGCGGCGCCAAATACTGGGTCAAGGTAGAGAAGGCAACTGTAGATGCCAAGGGCAAAGTCCTGCTCCGTGTCGACGGCGCTACGAATGCCGTCAAGGCCCTCCATGGAGTCCAAGGTGCAGCTGAAGCTCTACCCTCTTTCGTCACCAACCGCGCAGGTTACGGCCGCCTTGATGATAAGCGATAAATGGGGTCCCACGTTTATTTTCTGTACACATAAATGTATTATTATTATGTTCTAGATATACAAATATTAACTCCTCCAAGCTGCTTCGTTTTTCTGACGTTAGACTTCGTTGTCTTACATAAGCATACACACCATTACGTAATATAAATTTTAAGTTTCTACGTTTAATCACGTGAATACACAGCCCTAAGCGAACTTCCACTTTATCAAAAAAAGCCATCACGAACATTTCAAGATCGAACGCCAACTGTCAACTCCATCAACAACCCGCAGTTCAGCACAACAACACCGCCAACATGGGTCGCGTTAGGACAAAGGTATGTGATCATTGCACATTGCAAAGCTAACCCCTTACTCTCTTCAAAATCGGAAAACTGACAAGACTGCGTTTGACCTGGATAGACCGTCAAGAAATCCGCGAAGAGCATCATTGAGCGATACTACCCAAAGCTCACTCTTGATTTCGAGACCAACAAGCGCATTTGCGATGAGATCGCTATCATCTCTTCCAAGCGCCTTCGCAACAAGGTGGGTGGCCGAAATATCCAATAAAAGGGAATGCAAAATCGCCGGAAACTGGTCTAATTCAGATTGATTATAGATTGCTGGTTACACTACCCATTTGATGAAGCGTATCCAGCGTGGCCCAGTCCGCGGTATCTCCTTCAAGCTTCAGGAGGAGGAGCGTGAGCGCAAGGATCAATACGTTCCAGAGATCTCTGCTCTTGACATCTCCCAGACCGAGAGCGGCCAGCTCGACGTGGACGCCGATACCAAGGATCTCCTCAAGAGCCTCGGAGTAAGTCTTATGTTCTATGCAACTCATGTTAGCATCGATGGCTAATTTGAATACTTCCCCCCTTCAGTTCGACTCTCTCAAGGTCAACGTTACCCCAGTGTCTCAGCAAACCCAGAACATTGATGGCCGTCGATTCGACCGTCGTTAAATCAATCCCATCACAAAAATGGCAGGAGTTATGCGGCGGTGGGAATTTGGGTCAACATATCCAGGCCTTGTTCATGAATTCAACGCCTAGATTGCCAATTTTTTCTAATATAAAAAAAATTACAAAATACAAGGTGTCGCTGATTCCGTTGGGATGACGCTTGATTGCCAAAACCAGTCCCTATCTCAACTCCCGTAATGGATGCTACACGCCCTACCATGATCTGATGATATTCATTTATGATGGTAAGTTATTCACAATCGCACAAAGTAAGAATAATTTCGCTCGAAGGAACGCCGTATCAAGCATGTGAAAAACGGACTCTTTAAGAAGCCAAGGGTATCTCTTGCGTGTCAACCTAGCAACGCCCATATAATCCAAAGTGCCTGTAAACCCGTCTTATATCTGCGGTAAAAAGTCATCCATATCTTCATCTCCATCTCCGTCCTTGTTGCTGGACGGCCAGTTTCTGAACTGTGTGTCCTGGCGGGGATGGAAACCCTCGACCGAGCCTCCTTTTGCGCTGTCGGGCTGGAAGATTGGAGCTTTGGGGTGTCTCGAATCGTCGGTATCTCTTTCAACAACTGTTGGTGCTAGCAAACCTCTGGCTCCAGCATCGCTGCTAGGATTTACCGACGAACTTCCTGCATCTTGCATCGATAAATCCTGCGATTCACGGGATAGATGATCTTGGCCATAGGTTGGGTTGGTGTCATTGGTCTGTAGCGTGAGTCCCTGCAGATTCTCCTCCACCTCTCTCATCGCACTTCTGTCTACCCGTTCGGCGCTTAATCTCAAGGAGTCGCCTCGTCTGGCCTCCTCCAGCAGCACAAAGTCCTTGCCCGCGCTTCCTATCCGTTCTGAAGCTGGTTTCTCACTGAGCTGCACTTTGATGTACATTGCTCGCTCTGCACACTCCTCAGAACACCACATCTCTAGCTTTTCTTTCTGTACAACTTTCATGTCCTTGCCACGGCCGCCGGGACCGCTGCCCTTTGATCCCCATACGATCCTGTATCCTCCCTTAGAGTTATCTTTTCGCCGTGGCTTGGGACACAAGGTATAGCCACAGCTACCGTCAATATTCCGTTCCTGTATCAGATTATCGTAGTCCGATGGCTGAAAGCATGCTATCGCAGAGAAGAAGGTCGACACGTCCTCCGCAGAGGGGGACTCGACTGTAGCGCCTGGTGTAGTAGGCAGTTCCATAAGCGTTTCGATATGTGAGAGGATCTGGAGCTCCAACTCCTTGCGGCTCTGGATCTGGCGGGCATGGTGAAGCGCAATCGCCATGTGTCGAGGGTCCGGCGACCCTTTGCCGCGATACTGAGACGAAGCCGGGGCCGATGAAGCGTGAACTGCCTGTAGAGACGTCTTGAGCGTCCTGTCCTGGTGAGCGCCGCCTCTGCCGGCCATGGCTGCGACTCTACACGGACGAGCAGTAAGATGTCCTATCCCAGCGTCACTCTTCCATCCGCCGTTTCTTTTGGATCAGACGTCAAGCTCGAGGCCGTCGAAATGAGCCATCTTCCTTGTCCACTGTGGTCGTGGGCTGTGGGGGGAGGGGAGGAGGAGGGGGGGGGAGGTTTCGTGCTGGCCGTGGCGGCGCCGTCGGTCGTTTTTATATGAGGACCGTCAAGCCACAGCCTGCTAGTCAGCTAACTAACTAGTTAACTACTAAGTGTTGTCTCTCCCGCCCTCGCCCATCTCCCTCCCACTCCCACGGACAACCCGAACATCACCAACTCGCACATCCCACCACCACCCACTAGGCTCCCCTCGAGCCCGTCCGTGTCTTGTTGCCTCCGTTCCCTTGCGAAGGAGATACCGCTGCTAGTCCCCGACCTGTAAGACCTGCTTCTGGTTTTCTGTCTTTGTTTTGGTGATCTAGTTATATTTAGCTGTGACGGCCTGAACTGACCTAGGCCACTGCGCAGGTTGTTACCGATGCTCTAGCTACACGCCAGCGTCGTGTACTCACTACTTTCCTTCGACAGACTGAACAGTTGAAAGAGACAGCGGGCTTCGACCATCTGGCCCTCTTCTTTTGCACTCTGGTGCTGCCCGGTTCATATTTGGTCGCAACACTGCTGTTCTGCCTGGCCGCGAGTCGCCGTTGCGCCCGACCGTTTACTCGACCGTTGATACTCGGCAACCCTCCATATCAGCCTTCCAAATGTCAGCGGTACCTTTCACGGTCAAGGCAGTGTTCGAATACACCTCAGAACATGAAGATGACCTGAATTTTTCAATTGGGCAGATCATTACTGTGACCGAGGAGGAGGATGCTGACTGGTACTATGGCAACTATACCAATCATGCGGGCGCCAAACAAGAAGGCATTTTCCCAAGGAATTTCGTCGAAAAGTACGAACCTCCGGCACCCCCACGGCCTACGAGACCTGCCAGAACCCGGAAGGAGTCTGAAACCGCCTCTCAATCTCCACCTCTAGCCTCCGAGTCAGCGGTGCCTGACATCCCGCAAGAGGACAGTCAGAAGAGGAGTATCGATCTGGGTTCTACTGGAGAGGCCGAGAAGAAAACTGCCCCTAGTTCAGTGCCATATGAGGCCCCAAAGAGCTCTGCCCCTGTTCCGGCTTCCTCGTCTCCTCCAATGAGCCCGCCCTCTCAGAAGGCTGCACCGCCTCCGCCATCAGCGCCAGTTGAAGCACCAGCTAAGAAAGCCCCGCCACCAGCTGTTGCAGAGAAGCCGACTGCAGGCTCGTTTAGAGACAGGATTGCTGCTTTCAACAAGGCATCTGCGGCTCCAATAACTCCATTCAATCATGCCACTCATACATCAAGTTCATTCGTGAAGAAGCCATTCGTTGCACCACCGCCCAGTAAAAACGCTTATGTTCCGCCACCAATTGAACATCCTCAAACATATAGGCGCGAGGAGCCCCAAGAAACTTCGCTGCCAATTCGGTCTGAAGCCCCGGAAGGAACGGAAGGTACAGAAGATGAACAGCCTAAGCCAACAAGCCTGAAAGAAAGAATTGCTCTGTTGCAGAAGCAGCAGTTAGAGCAAGCTTCTCGGCACGCTGAAGCGGCCCAGAAGAAAGAAAAGCCGAAAAAGCCAGCGAAGAAGAAAGTCGAGTCACAAGAGCCGGTTGAACCATCCGAGTCAATGATGGGAGTAGAGCTACAAAGGACTGAGACCTCGGAAACTGCAAAGGAATCGTCAGCTGCAAGCGGTGACCCAGCTGAAGAAGGCACTCAGCCTAAGCATCGAACTCCTGTCTTACCGCCCGCCAGAGAACTTACAAGTGACACTAATGATGCTGATAACTCTGCGGCTGGAGATACCGAAGAAGCAAGTGAAACTTCAACAAGCAAAGAAGACGTGGAGGACAAGTCACCTGAATCCAGACCCCTGAAGCCAACCCACGGCGATGCTCCCGGTGCCAATGGCTCTGAGGAAGAAGAGAGCGAGGAGCAAGAGGAGGACGAGATAGATCCTGAAATCAGACGGCGGATGGAAATTCGTGATCGAATGGCCAAAATTAGTGGAGGAATGGGCATGATGGGCATGTTTGGTGCTCCAGCTGGCCTACCAGGAATGCCTACGGGCAGCTATAAAAAGCCAAAAGCTCCATCAGCGGATGTAGGGACAACCGAGCAGCAACCGGAAGCTTATGCTCCTCCTGTCCAGCTTATGGCTCTTCCAGGAATGCATGTTAGAAAACCCGAAGAGAAGCCAAAAAGTCCGCCAGCAGTTCCGGAAGAGCCTAGTGAGGCATCGATCCCTCCGCCACAGCCCTTACCTTTGAATTCAGAAGATGCTCCAGAGACTACCAGTGAGGAGCCTATCACACCTCACGGTATGTTTATATATTTTTCTTTGCTATGATTTTTCTGGAGACAAGGCTAATAGATTCGAAATTTAGGACGCCCGGTCCCTCCTCCACCGCCAGTTGCCCAAAACCTCCCTCCTCCACCACCTCCCCCAGAAAGTAGGTTACCAACCAACCCCCCTTTTTCTCCCTCGCTCATATTCTAACATATGTTATTACGTAGCTCGGCCTGTCCCACCACCACCACCTCATAGTATATTGACATCTCCCTCTCTCGGAACTAAATCTAATGATGAAGTTCTATCTCCAGCCCGGACCGAAAAGGGGGATGATGAATCCTACTTTGCAGGGCATGAGGCTTCAGGGAGCGCACGCCAATCCATGGATCAAGTTAGGATATCATCACCTGTGTCGTCTCCCGTGACAGGGCCAGGAAAACGACAAAGCCATCCCCCTCCACCACTGCCATCAGCTCCCCCAGTACCTCCATCAGCTCAGACCCGTCCTCCACCTCCTCCCCCTCCAGCAACTGAGCCTAGCCCCGACAACACAGGTGATAGCAGGATGAGCTCCCAGACACCAACTCGTCCTCTAGGTAGTGAGAGTGAGGAGGAGATAACTGAGTATGAAGGAGACTATGATACAGATATAGCATCAGGTGCCAAACACAAAGATGCCTTGAAGGCCCATGTCCGAGATTCTAGTATAGATGAAGGGACATTAGCCGACTCTTTCAGCCCGCACTCGCCCAGGAGTCCGGTAGAAACACGGCCACCCATCCCACAAACCTCTTTCCAAAGTACTGCCCCTCGCTCAGCACCACCTCCCCCTCCCCCTGGCCAATCACCAAAGGCTGCCCGACAATCAGTCGATATGCTGAGAGCTCCACCACCTCCAATTCCGCAAACTATGTATACCCAAGAGGATGAAACCCATGAACGAGCCCGAGAGGAAGCCTTTGATCAGTATGCAGCACCTGCTGTTCCTGCTCATCGGGATCGAGGCGAGTCCCAGGTTAAGGATATTCCGGACGAGACATCATACGAGGCACCCCAACACAACATGTCTTCTCAAGCCCCACGCCCATCCCGGGGCTCGTCTGATCTCCTAAGAGGCCAGACCGGAACCCGCAGATCTATGGACGTTTCCAGACCATCAATGGATCAGGGTTACATGGCAAATGATGTAGACCTTGCCTCCATGTCTCTCTGGTGGACACAACCAAACACACCTCCTCCAGTATTCCAAGGTCGACGAGACATCCTCATCGAAATTGAGGAATCCTCCGCAAACAAGCGAGGAGGCAAAGTTACCACATCAAAGGACGTCTACATCCTCTTCATGGACTATTCTCAAACAATCATATCCGCACAATTCGATTCCAAGAACCCAATCGATGTAGCGTTAGAACAGCGCCACGAACCACCACCACCCCGACTACGTCAAGACCAACTGGAGGACGCCCATACTCAATTTGGCGCTCGCATCTCTGAATCGGTTGCTTCAAAACAAAACACCACAGTGGGTGACGGTACGCCCCATGCTCTTATCCAGACACTCCTTGCCCCTCTGAAGGATGCCCTCCTGCCAGTTGGTGTCCGCAGCTACGGCGCTCTGGTATACGCCAACCTAGCCAATGCCTCAGTCCAACAATTTGACGAAATTCGCCCTGGAGATATCATTACCTTCCGTAACTGTCGTTTCCAAGGCCACCGTGGCACAATGCATCAGAAATATTCCTCTGAAGTAGGCAAGCCAGACCACGCCGGAGTCGTATCTGATTGGGACGGTACGAAGAAAAAGGTACGGGTCTGGGAGCAAGGTAGGGAAAGCAAGAAGACGAAAGTTGAGAGTCATAAGTTGGGGGACCTGAAGAGTGGTGAATGTCGTGTTTGGAGAGTCATGTCCCGTACTTGGGTTGGATGGGACGGAGAGCATAAAGCCTGAGGTTCCGTAGAGAAGGTTTGCCTCCTTCCAGCTTGAAATTTGATCACAACTTCAATACATATCTAGCTCCATACATACACTTGCGCAGCCTTGCCTTATTTACTTTGCTCTACTCATTTCCTTGTGTTATGTTTTGTTCGAACATAGGTTGAGTCGGCTGATTTTTTTTTTTACCTTGAATCAATGAAATTCGTTCCTGTATGCAAAATGTGACAACGCTGTGGGATACAAGAAGCTACATATCACACATCCATTTAATATTTACCATATGAAAATGCGTCACTTATTCAATAGACAAAGACAAGCAATTGATTGCTATGAATGTTCAAAGTTTTGGTGGAGGGTTTACCTAGATATGTTTAGATATACACATTGCAAGAAGATTATCTACTTCGTTCCTCAAAAACTCCTCCTGAAATATACATGTATCACACTCCCAAGAACGATGCCCTAGTCCAAATGACGGCGTGCTCAAACAGATCAACTTTCCTGGCCCTCCGGTAGCTGCCCGCTACCCTGTTTGGAGTTATATGAGGAGTACCTCTCCTGTAGCACCGCCCATATTATGTTGATAGGCCTGCTGTTGGTTCTGGCTTACTATGTACTGGCTCTCTGGTGCGGTCGCAACCATATCACCACCATGAACGCCACCACCACCTAGGCTCATAGCTGCCATTTGGTCAGCTACTTGGTCGTTACCGATTCCAGCAAAGTAAACGTCAGCAGCATTCACAGCAGCGCTTATATCTGGCTTCTGGACCATGCCAGGGTTTGATGAGATAGACTGAGCATTTGCTTCAGGTTCCTGACTGGGAGATAGGAGGGTAGATAGAGGTATATGGAATGGAGTGTCGTGGGAGTCTTGATAGGTGGGTTGTTGGAGCGCGGGGCTTGGAGCGAGCCGCTTCGGTCTGGCTAACCGGAAGACTTGTTGGACGGGCTTAAGATAGACGGTAGCAAGGGTTCCGACGTTTAGGCACAGTTCCTCGAGTGTCCTCGGGTCCAGTTTCTCCCTGTCGGCTGTAATAGGAGGCTTCTCACCCATGACGATTTTCCTAGCTGTTTCTGGGTCCGTGGATAGTAGCCGCCAGTACATAAAGCCTCTGTCTCGAAGGTCGGGATCGTCTGTCTCCTCTGTGCACCATTTGAGGACCTGAGGAACCAATTCTTGACCCTTTGTGGGACGCTGGATGAATAATTTGACTGTGGCTGTGAGTAGAGCTAGTTGCACTTCCACCGGCTCGTCATGGAAAGTAGCCAGGTAATCCTGTAGGAAAGCGTCCGAGTTGTCAATTCTGTCTGCGTACTGGCCAATGATCCATATCACGGCAGCCTTGGCCTCGGGTTCATCCAGCTCGTCGATGTTCTGAATAACTGTGGTAATGATTGATTCATACTGGTTTGGGTATTTGCGGAAGATGTTGCGAATCACAACCGTGGCTTCCTGCACGATATAAGGAATTTTAGCATTGACAAGCTCGAGCAAGGTCTCGATACACTGTCGTGATGCAGATTCTATTTTGATTGCTAACTTTCCAATTGCGCGTACAGCCTTTCGTACGAAGTGAACGTCGATTTCTGTGGCGTATCTATAGCTTTTGGTTAGAGATGACGGGTTGGATATGACTATAGAGGTCAAACTCACTCTCGAAGTTCAGTCAGGACCACTGAGATATTATCCTTGGATGCCAGCATAAAGATCAACTCTAACTTGGTCACCTTAACATAAATGGGGTCATTATATTTGCAAAAGAACACTCTGATGTCATTCCGCAGCACCTCCGGTCGCCTTTGTAATATCAAAATTGCATTTCGTAGCGCCAGGTACTGGACTTCGGGCCCCTTTGATAGTAATGTGACGAGAGGTGGCGAGAGCTTTCGGGAAAGTGATGTGACCTGTTTTTCGTCTGCAATGTAGTTCATAAAATATAGTATGACCCGGATGCACGTCAAGACGACGGAGGAGTTGGAATGCGAGAGACGTGGGGCCACTCGTTCTGCCAGAAGGAGCGCTTCGGAGGACTCTCGGGGGACGTAAGACATCAATGCTTCGAGTATGTATGTTTGACACCATCTATGAAAGTGTTAGCTTACGCCAAGTAGAGCAGTATATGTATGTATAGTGAACATACTCAGAGCAATCCGGTAGAATAGAGATAATCTTAGAGGCATTGGTATAATCAATAGTCAAAGTGATAGATTCACTTCGTTCCCAGACGTCTACCAAAGCAGCCAAAGCACTTGACACAACCGTTGGGTTTTCATCCTGAAGCATGTTATTCAACCGCTCAATCAGGTCGGACGACTCAACCAGCCTTCTATCGTGGTCGTATAGTTTGGCGACTGCAAAAGCAGCTGTTTTGCGCACATAGGGATCTGCATCGGACATTAAGTGTTTCAATGGTTGAACTGTTGCTTCGACAAAATCTCTCACATGGATGTATGATATCGTGCGTAGGGCCAGTGCTCGAATTAAAGGGTTACCATCGTTCATATCCTATATAACTCGTCAGCTATGATGCAATATATATATCGGGTGTGCATAGGCCATAAACAGATAACATACTGCGAGAAGCAATGGCAACGCCTTCAACGCAACCTCCGGCTTCGTCCGGGAATAATTAACGAGGAATAGGAAGCACCTGTTATCTGTTAGCTCGGCCCTCTTCCGTCTGTCTGTTTTCCTATGGAGCAAACGCACATTTTCTTTATCTCCAAGCTCGGTATCGTCATACAACCGATAACGTCCGGGAAGAGGCCAATCATATCAATATTGCTCATGGTCATATTGGCGACTATCTTCTTCAGCGTAATCTTCTTCGCAGAGTGGTTCTTATCCTTCTTGCCACCGCCCTGCAGCTCCATGCGGAGCTCGCTGACCTTGCCCTGTGCAGTGTTGTTAGTTCTCTGACCAGACGGTCGAACACCTCCATACTGTAGGGTCATCATATTGCCGGTATTGAAGGCACCGATGGCGTGTCCATGGGTAGATGTGATGGGCGGGTTGGTAGTAATGGTGGGTGGTGCTGGTGCTGGTGTTGGTGCTTGGTGTATCAGGGAGGACGCAGGCAGGCCGGAGGAGAGGGTATCGACGGGCAGTATATCATGGAGGAGAGACAACGTACTCTTGCGAACAGCTTCGCATCGCCCCCGCTCGAGCTCATCTTCCGTGCGCGCCGAAGACGAGAGCGGCTCGAGATGTCTGGTTGCTACTGGATGGACTGCAAGCGGATGGTCACATGTAGGGTAGGCCCCTGGCGAGCCAAGTTGCCGTTCAGCGAGTCGGATCCCGGGCGGGCGGTCTTTGTTAGTTCGTCTGTGGCCTCTGTCCTTGTACCAACGATGCTCAGGAGGTGCTTGCGGGTGGAAGAGCTGCGGGAGTCGAGGGATGCGAGGACGCGCTTCAAGGGGAGCCGTCGGGGTGGTGCTGGGACTTTGTTTTGTCAACTTAGCTAAGTAGTAAAGTTGGATGTTTTGGCCTGCAGGTACTTTTTGGTTACTAACAAGCCACGATGCGGCCAAAGTAACTACATCCCTAGTTGACGAGCGGTGGACCAGCCAGACCCAGCTGAAATCGGCCTTGAAGAGACGCCAGATGTCCAGTTGATCGCCAGGCAGCCTGTCAGGCTGTGTCAGGAGCCGAGATGAGACGTGAGACGCGAGATTTGCCGCCCAGAAGCTGCAGGTTGGCTGTCTGTACAGCCAACGGTGCCAACGACAGCGGACATCACTTTATCACTTTTTGGACCAGGAAGCTGCTGCACACCTCTGCCTCTGCTCTTATTAAATAATAATCTCCATATCTATATTTTGAACCTTATCATGCTAATCATATTCCACTTGGCTATAGAATATCCGAAACGCAAGGTATAAGGGAGTCCGTTCAACCGACCAGGCACCCGGAGACTGCCCTATTATTCCGAGCCATTCGTTTGCTTTAACTACGGAGTACAAGGAGCTTGAATGGAGTCACTAGTTATCGGTCAATCCCTCGCCTTTATGTGCTGTTACCGGACTCTCCTTGTTGATATCCCTTGGTATGTTGCTGCACTGAAGACGATGGTACTTTTATTCAAGCAGCTAGTTTAAATGGCTGGAAAGCAGGTGGTTGGGGTATCCTTAACTATTCAAAACCAACCCCCATGGAGGCTCTCTGATCTTTACGGGTAGCCGTTTCATACGTCACACCGATCGTCGTCTCCTTCTTTATTCCGTCTACCCCTTCCGAACTATAGCCATCCTGTCTGTGGCCTTCTTCCATAAGATAGACCTCGCCATTATTCGGGGTACTATTCCTTGAGCCACAGCTTCGGTCTAGAAGTTTTGGATCATCACTGCTTTCGAACTGCTTGCTATGAACATAGCTAGCCTGATGGCTGTCACTGATATTAGACCTCTTGTTCGATTTATCTCTTTGCCTGTTCGTGGACATGATCGGCCTCAATGTGGGTATCGAAGTCGCGATGATGACAAGATACGCTTCCAGGGTCCACCACGTAGCAAGATGGGCCATGGCATAAGTGATGTCCGCTTTTGCTGTGATCGCTTGCAGCTGAACGGTTTTGATAATTGATGCAATCATTGCACTTTTAGTTCGATTTATTATCCAGTCAGCGTTATCAACATAACTAGTGATAGTTATAAGAAGGCGTGCTGGCACTTACATGATTCCGAGACCCATCAATAACGAAAGTGATACCTTCTTTCTCATCTCCATATTTAAATTCCACAATAGGCTGGCCGGAAATACCGCGAGAACCAGGTCAACCGCAGAACATACACCTCCAGATCAATGTCAGTATTTATCATTTTAACAGATGATAAGAAAGTGCGAGAGAAGACTTACTGCCCTGGAAGAAGCCTGCATATTGCTGCACAGTTGGTGCCCAGCAGTGGCCTGGGACACTTGAATCCCAAAACTTATTTATTGGCCGGCACTGGACAAAGCTGATTATCACCGTCCCAACGTCGACCACAAATTGAATCCATATTAATGTCCAGAGCATTCGACTTCGCCATTTTATCGGAGGGAGAATGCCCAGCAACAAGGATGCGTAGGCGATGCGGCTTACTCCAGGCGACATAATGGAGAAAAACTCGCAGAGGTATACCCATTTCACCGTATACTTGATTTGCTTTTTCGAAAGCTTTGCTATATGGGTTCCCAGTCCCCAGTGAGTAGAAATCGTTAGAAACGTGGAGTTTCCTATTCCAAGGGCCTTTTATCCGGTAACCAGTCAGATTTTACTACCATTTTGAGTCTTCAAAAGGATTCCTGTCAGACTCACAAGTGCGATCAAAATGAGACCATCATCAACAGTATATTTACCGACGATTCTCCACCGGACATATAATCTGGTGCCAACGACACCGATAGCGACAGCAGCAAGAAACCAGGCGAAGACCAGCACGGTCGTCCCTAGGTACCCAGGGCCAGACATGAGCATTTTGACAACTTCTTCGATTCAAACAAGTCGAAGAAAGAGTGAGAAGCAGGGGAGGTGGTGTCTATATGAAATATTTAACGACGTACCCCATAAATCAGCTATGGGGAAACTGGAATATCTATGAACAGTCAGAAGAACTGACGGCTCGGCGTCATTGTGACACTTGTTTCCTTTTCTTCTAGCTTCTGTGAGTAGCAGCTTGACAGGAAGCTGATTGTTTATGACGATCACTTTGGGGCCAAATAATGATTAGCTTGGGTAATGGCTATGGAAAACCTATATGGGGTAAAGCAATAGTTTAATTGCAAACGCCTGCGTCAGATCCCCCAGGAACTGGCCAATATCTACCACTCTAGCCGTAGCTTATGTGTCATTCATAAGCACCAGCTTATTGTTCGTTATAACGCAAGGAGGAATTCAATGGTGGATAAAGGATCTTCTGGATCACCATGAGACAGTTACTAGCCAGATGACTGCATATACGAGTATCTCTAAGGGAAAAAAGAAGAAGTCTTTTTCTTCCCGCTTACTCTTCGTGCAGTTTTGGCATACTGAGGAAGACTCCGAGCGTACCTAATGCCCCTTAACCGCTTCGTATCCACCGGTGGCTTGAAACCCGAGAAATATATGATGGTATTTCCCGCCCCCGATGCCCTGGTATGCACATGGGTAAACCCTGCTACTTCTTCACACTATTTGGACAGCTTCAATTCAGCGGCTTGTGCCGTATACAGGGTACCGTTCTATCTTTAACTATACTCCATAAGGAGTGCTCAGCATCAGAATTCTCATAAGCTGGTCAGCTTGACAAGACCAGGAATGGCCTAAACCTCCCTTGGACAGCTGTCTGATATACGGAGGGAACTAGTTATCTCGTCAGCGCCCCAGATGGAGGATTCAAGTGGGAGGTTCAATATATGATCTAGAAACCCGGCGCTCACTGATCATCAATTGATCAAGCCATCAGCTATTAAGCAGCATCAAAGTAATCCCAGAATGGACCCCTGGCTATAATCACTAGTTATTGATTATTCAACTGCTAGCTGGAAATTTTGCTTCTATCTTGGAAAGAGCATCCACTCTCGACGCAATGTCATGAATGTGATGAAGTAGTTATATTGTTATTATCAATAACTATAACGAGCAAGGGTGTATACACTCAACACCACCGCACGTTGAGCAAGACACCCAGCTCATTCTTAACATCATTCGCTATCTATTTCATATAGTATACCGAGACATATCTTCCTGCTCTTCATCTCCCGTTTGTAGCATCTTGCTTCAAGGCTCAGTGACGAGACAGACAGAAAGGCAAAATAGAGTGTTTACAGCTCAGTAAAGCTCTCACTGCCCAGCTGGAGCAGCTGGAGAACGTAGCGGTCGACATGATTTTCTCGGTCGCGGTTACGGACGCACTCGAAGCTTTAGACCCGGCAATTGAGAAGGTTTCATACGATTTCTTCACAGAGCAACTTTGGTAAGCCATCCCTATTTACGTCTCCTCAAAAAATATGTCTTCGTTAAGTCCTTCATAGATGCAAGAGCCTATTTCTATCATCATCTACATGACTGGTCTGACGAAAAGTGTCTTAATATTCTTCCAAGGGTTGCATCCGCAATGACACCAGGGTATTCGAAACTTCTGCTTCACGAGATAATTATTCCTGAAGCAGGGGCATCACAGCTTCAGGCCATGCTGGATATGACGATGATGGCCTTTAATGGTGGCATTGAACGTACCAAGCAACAGTGGACTGCGCTATCAGAAAAGCCAGGTCTTAAGGTTGTCCAATTATGGGGCCCAGCAGAGGAAGATGATGGTGGAATCGTTGAAGTCGTGAAAGCATAGATCCTCGATAGATTCCCCAGTCCTTGCTATCACTCAGCTGGGCGGTAACCATGTTTTATCCCGTGAGTATAGACCTTCCAATCTTTCGAGCATTTAAGACGAAGAAAGGGGAAGTTGACGTAAAAGCAATTCTTAGTCATCATCCGCAGTTTAAGTTTAGCCTTAATTACGTTATTTCCCGAATTATAAACCAATCAGGGGCTTTTAAAACTAAAAGTAAACCCATCTCCAAATTATATCTCTTTAAGTTTAAGTTGTGACATAATCATTGCAGCTTAGTCATCCTTTACACTCAACATCTCGAAAGGAAGCCTTGAAGACGAGATAAACAACTATCTAGCAACATTGTATACCACGCATATACAGGCATATTCTCATCACGGCGGAACGAATGAAAATGTTCCCTCCGCCTCCTCCACCCCATTGGGCTGTTGATATGAACTCTCCGGCGCCCAGCAGAGCATCGAAGTCCGCCTCCTTCCCTGACCCTCCAGGCTACTCTGCCCCCAAGTCAGTGTCGAAGGTAAATTAAACAATCCACTATGTATATAATAGCATATTTCTACTTTCATGCGGAGTACTAACATTTATCCTTCAGCAACGAGCGCAGCCGTCCACTAGCCCATCCTCGACCCCCAGCAAGACCGAGACCGATGCCCTTAAATTGAAGAAAGCATGGGAACTTGCGCTTGCTCCTGCTAAACAGCTGCCCATGAATGCTATAATGATGTACATGTCCGGCAATAGCTTGCAGATATTCAGTATTATGATGGTTTTTATGCTTTTCAAGGGACCAATTACCGGCATCATAGGCACAAACGCTGCCTTCGCCAAGTTGGAGTCAGAGAGTATTCGAGGTCAGATGGTGGCTGTCAAGGTAGTTTACGTGGCCATGCAGTGTGTGTTACTGGCTCTGGGGATATGGAAGGTTAATGGGATGGGATTACTACCGTAAGTTATCCATCAATGGGGTATCTGGGCTTATTGAATGCTAACAATTGTGCCTTAGGACGACGAGATCAGACTGGCTAGCATGGGAGACGGAGCGAAGTCCGCTGGAACGGGCATATTTCGCTTTTAAATGATTATAGAATGTTAAACTAACATTAAAGAAAGAAGAAAAATGTGGCAATTCTTTCTATATGCGAAATAATACGATTTTTGCCCAAAAACCGTTTCTGATCTAATATTCTAACGCGCAGTTGCTTCATCACATGCCCCTCTAAGCTCACGAACAAATAGCCAAACATCTTCAAACGAGTTATATAGTGGTGCGGGAGCCACGCGGATGACATCCGGCCTTCTCTCATCGAGCACAACACCGTTCCTCAGCAGGCAGGAGAAGACGGGGTCCAACAAGCCTGCTCTTAATCGCAAACTGAGCTGTGCCCCTCTCATATCCGGGTCAGACGGCGTGATGATGGTAAATGGTCTCTCGGATTTGGAAGGGAATTCGCTGTCGATGAGATATTCTAGGTAGGCTGTCAATTTAACTGACTTGCGCCTAAGAGCTTGCATTGTAGCTTTGTTGAACACCTTCAGAGATGCAGTCACAGCCGCTAGGTCGAGAGCAGAAGGGTTGGAAACCTGATAACCCGCCGCACCAGGGCGAGGAACAAACTCTACCAATTGTTAGGAAGGCAGGCTAAGGATCAATAAAAAAGAGACGAAACTCACTATTATCCATTATAAAGCGGGAGCTCTTATCGCTTCCCCACCAACCCGATAGCCGTGGTCTAAAACTATCCTCCGTGACCATTCCATGTTTCTCGTGCACAAATAGTCCTGCCATAGCTCCGGCTCCCGAATTCAAATATTTGTACGAACACCAGGCCGCAAAATCAACGTCCCAGTCATGGAATTTAAGCTCAACATTTCCTACAGCGTGAGCACAGTCCCATCCTACCATTAACCCCTTGGAATGGGCATGAGCCGTGATGGTCTTCATATCAAAGAATTGGCCGGTGTAATACTGGATACCAGGAAGGAGGATAAGCGCCGCAGTGTCTGCGTGCGCATCAATAACGGATAGAATTTGGGAGGTCTCGAGAATGGGATAGTCTTCTGAGACTGGCTCGATGAGAACCATGGCGTCTTCTGGGTCAAGGCCATGATGGCGTGCCTGCGACTCAATTGCAAACTGTTCTAACGTCAGCAATGCAATAGAAACAAAGGGGTAAAGAGCAGTTTGTTCCTACATGATCACTGGGGAAAGCCTTCCCCTCGAAGATGATCTTGTATCTCTCCTTGGTAGGCTTATAGAAGCTGGCCATCAGGAGATGCAAGTTGCTTGTCAAGGTCCCCATCAGAGCCACCTCACTCTCCTTAGCACCCACGAGCGGTGCCATAAGCTCAGGTGCTCTATCATCAATATTCAACCACTCTGCCGTTAGCTGGTCGGTGTGGGGCTCGGTATGGCCTAGCACTCCTTTGAGAGCCCATGACCGCAAGTAGGAATTGACGTGTTCACTTGTAGAAACAGGCTGGAGGCCCAGAGAATTTCCACAGAGATAAACACAGCTTTCTTCAAGTTTTCTCGCTTCCTCTCCTGTAGGGGGAGCTAGGGTTGTGCGTGTCAGATCGGCCTTGGAGGGGATGATGAACTCCTTTCGAAAGTCACGGAGGGGATCCTGTTCGTCGAGGTTGCGGGCGTACTCCCTTGTGAGGGAGCTGGGATCCTTGCTAAAATCCATTCTATCCACCTAGGCTATGGATGCTAGTGAATAGCTGAAGGAGGTAGGATGTGTTGTACCCTGTCTTGATCAATACTTTTTGAATATACTATCTTTGCCGCAATCTGTTTGTAAACATCCGTAGAGCCATGGGTCGTTTTTTTGTCTTTATTCTTCGGGCTCCCCCGCTTACTAACCATCACGAGCCGTTTAGTTAAATCTCCGGAAAGCAGCCGATGATCAGGAATTTGTCGAGCTGCTGCAAGGTACAGAGGGATCACCAACAGACAGAGCTTGGTCAGCGAAGGTGAGCTTCGCGCCCACAGAACAAGGAAGCAGGCGGCCAGGCATTGCGTTCTCGATGGCCATCTTGACTCGCCAGCCTGAACAATGGCCAGGGACAAGAAAGTGCGGGTTTAGCGCCTTTAGATCGTGAACCGTTGCATGCACCGCCGCCTCGTCGCTCGTTGCCAAGTGGTAGCCCCCGATTATCGCGAAGATATCTTCCTCCTGGCCTTCCTTTGCTTCATCCTCTTTGCCCCCTTGCTGCTGGCTTCTTTTGGCGTGTCTGGCTGTGTTTACAACGCCAGCATGGCTGCATCCCGTGACCGCGATAAGACCTAGTCCTTTTTCTTTGTCAGCGCGGGGTAGAGTTTGGAGTTTGTTATATAATCGGTCGTTGTACTCACCCCGCACACGACACGTGACCGCGCGCTCGTCCGCGATTTCTTCGTCTTTTTCCCATTTCCCGTCATCATCAAGTCGCATTGCTCCCTTGAGGCCGGTCTCATACTCTGTCTCCCGCGGGATCATGCCGGAGACATGAAACATACCGTCTGCCAAGGTGTGCGGCTGTGAATTCTTACTTACTGTAGCACCAGCAGCAGTCATTGCGTCGAAACCCGGATCTGCCTGAAGAGATATGATTTCCTCGCCTAGCTGGAAACCGCGATACTTTGGCCGTGATGGGTGGACATCTACTACTACTCCTGCATTGCTGGTGCCTTGTGCTCCTTGGGCTTCCTTGATCATCCGGATAGCGCGTAGCATGCCGCCTATAAAATTAGCCATAGTCATGTATTGATTGATAGTGTAGAGGTAGTAGATGAAAGGGGCTACCTGAATGATCTCGATGCCAGCGAGAAAGGACTATGGTTTCAACAGTCGAGAGATCTACAGCGAGTCTCTTCGCGTTTCGTTCCCATGCATCTTCCTCTGGCCCAGTATCAAACAGTATGCTTCTCTTTTCATTTCCAATGGTACCTGTCTGTCCACTGTCAGTCTGGATGTTTTATATGGGGGTATACAACACGAGTACCAGTAAGATAGATAGCCCATGAGCTGCGCAACAGATACTTTCCATCTTCAGCTCACGGACTTCTTCATTGCCCCGGTAGACGTGGGCGGACTCCCGAGAGATATTGCCCAGTGAACCGTGGGAGATGATTGAACCCACGGTTGTGGGAGGTGGAGGAGACATTACATCCAGCTCATTGTCGATGATCACCGTCACCTCAAGGCTGTCAAGTAATAGAGCCATCTTATTGGTCAGATAGTGGTTGATTTTATGTTGGTTAGGTTTGGTCGTCTTGTTTGTAGTTGGAACGGTGAACCTTCAGCAGGCAGTACAACCACTCAGAAGCTGACATGACGTCAAGCCTAAAGCTTCTCGTCACGCCTCTTATATAGATCAAGATGTCCAACTATCAACACCCTATAATCAAATTTACCAAACAACCTATATCTATCACATAGTCAAACACAACCAAAAAAATCCAGTCTGTACACCAGCCAAACACAACATGGCGTCCATCACAGACATTATGAAAGCGGACCATCAGGAGCTGCGAGACGACTACGCCAAAACCATCAACGCCGCTGACGAGGACAGCATGACCCGTCACGGTAATAAGTTCACTTGGGATCTCGCCCGTTACACTGTTGCAGAAGAGCTTGTCATCTACCCAGCCATCGAATCCCACATGGACCACGGCAGCGTCATTATTAACCGTGACCGCGCCGAGAGCCAGAAACTTAAGGAGCTTCTCGCTAATTTCCAACCCCTTTCCGCCTCGGACGCTGAGTATAGGCCTACCTTGGATGATCTCATGAGTAAGATCGACACGCACATTAACGAAGAAGAAGACGAATATCTTCCGTCGCTGGAGGCGGTGCTGGATCCAGGGGAATCGCAAGACCTGGCACGGACATTTGAACGAACAAAGGTATTGATGCCAACAAGAAGTCATCCCACTGCCGCAGTCGAGCAGCCTGCGTTTGAGACTGCTGTGGCCCTGGTTCAGGCACCTCTCGACAAGGTTGCAGACCTCATGAGGAAGTTTCCGGAGGAGTAGTCTCTGGGTGTTCATGCTTATGTCACTGTTTCGGATGCAAGCCATTATAATGTCAAAGTAACTTTTTAGGCCAGTCTATCCTTTTGAGCACAAAAATGAATCGTCCTTCTTTCGCTCTTTCGTAACTATATGATCGGCCATTTTCCTTTGTCCAGGAGAATTTTTGGACTACCCGTCCCATCAGTCCAATGAACCTAGCGAAGATGTCGAGCAGATTAATAGCCTGCCAGGAGACCTTTTCCGCAGGCATTAAACTTGAGTATGCCTGTCCTTTTGAGGGTATCCAGTATTCAAAATGCCCATACTCTCTGTCTCCAAATAACTATGAACTCAACCATGTTTGTTTCGATATTTCTTTCCCTTCTCTCTTACTGGCTGAGATATATCTACACGTGATGGTGATTGGTAATCATGTATCCACCAATCGACGCCCAAGGTACGAGTCGAAGCTTTTGATCTTATCGATTCTGCGTCTTGCGGATCTTTCTGCGGCCGAATATAAAAAAATGTCGACAAGCCGATTCATCTTCCTTTTTACTTAATAAACCACTTTTAGGCGGCTGTTTCTATATACCAGCATGTCGAAGCACAGCCTACTCCTCTCGTGTCGGTCACGGACGGTCGCCATATCACCCCAAACTATCTTAATCAACGTACACAGCCGATACATCGCAACAACCACCACGCTTCCGCAGACTCCTTATACGCCTATCCGAGCTATCCCAACCTACCTCCTCCCGTCACAGAACCAATGGCGACCGCAGAGAGCGTTAACACCTTACCTACGGCATCCCCGTACCACCCTGGCCGCTTTCAACACCACTGCCGTGGTTAATGCGACCGTTGCAACACTGAATCCACAGGTCGATGAGGATGGACAACCTCTGCTTGTTTCAATATCGCCCCGAGCAGCAAAGGTACGTTGAACGGATAATTTTTTGCGGGTGTTACACCTTCAGCTGCCCGCTATATAAACCTGTCATGATAGAAGA